TGGTCTTTTCTAGTATAAAATGATTGATTGTCAGTCACACACAGTTATGTGGTGGTGTGCCCACTGTGGTGGGCTGACCTTGGCTGGGTGCTAGGTGCCCATCAAGCCACTCCACCACTGCTCTCTCCCTTCCCAGCTGGACATGGAGAGAGAGAATAAGATGGAAAACAACTCTTAGATTGAAATAAGGCAGTTTACTAACGCAAAAGTGAAAGTATGGGCATGCATAAGCAAAGAGTAAAAAAAGAACTTTATTCTCTACTTCCCATACACAAGAGATGTTCAGCCACTTCCTAGGAAGTAGGACTTTAGCAGGTGGAGTGGTTGCTCCAGAAAGCAAACATAAACAGCAAAAGCTGCTCACCCCATTCCTCCTGCTTTCCTTAGCTTTCATATCTGAGCTGACACCCCGTGGTATGGAACATCCCTTTGGTTAATTTGGGTCAGCTCTCCCAGTTACATCCCCTCTCAGGATCTTGCTGGCCCCCAGCCCCATGACTGGTGTGTTATCAACACCTTTCCAGCTGCCCATGCAAAGCACAGCACTATGAAAGCTTCTAAGGGAAAATGAAATCCAGCCCGGCCAGACCCAATACACCTACTCATCAAAATATGCTTTATTGTTGAAAGAGATATTATCAGCTCGGGGGTTTCTCCTACTCCACACTTCTGTGACTCCTCTCAGGGCCTGCACACCTGTACTGGTGTCAGCTCAGCCAGGAAGCACCTGTCTGACACTTGCTCATGATGGGTCTAAATTGAGATTGGTTAGCAAGATGGTCTCGGCATTCTTCAACACCAAAAATCCTCTTTGCTCAGTCCATCACCGCCAACTTGTAAATGAGGCAAAATTCAAGCTGCTGTACCCTAGCCTAGGCAGAATGTCCTGCTACAGATGCATGATGCTTGAATACATAACTTCTTTGCATACCATGCAAACTTAAAATCTTCATTTTACCCTTTTAAGTAGAGTGAAAATGGAGTTTGGGTAACTGAATGATAACAACAACATACTGTGTGGGTTCAGGGAAAATCACTGGCAGACCTATCAGACCCTCATTTCTGAAAGTATATTTTGAAATTACCCTTCCCCTGGCAGAGAGAGAGAGACCCTGCTTTTTGTTGCTTCAGGAAGGAGCACGTGAGGATGTTTAGCTATCAGACCCTCATCTCACTATTTTGTTTTTATCTCATGAAAGGGTTTTTTCTCTTTGAGAAATGAAGGTAGAATGGTGCTAGAAACTTGCTGACTATCACAGCCAACCCAGGATTATGCTCCTGCAGGAAGAGCCATTGTGCATATCTGCATCCAGTGACCATCACACAAGGGAAGTCTCAGCCCTCCCTGGGACAGCTGGTAGAGTGACTGCATTGGGGCACTGAGGATGTTGGAGCCAAAGGAAGCCCTACCACTGCTTTTTGCTCCTGCAGTTCCTGTGTGGCCCACGGGGCAACCCTGCTCCTCCTGCAGCACCACAGTGCCGTCCCTGAAGAAACCAGGGCAGCCCCATGCTGAGGTGGGTGTGTAAATCCCTGCCTTGCTCTCTTCCATAACTGTTCTTTAACATGTAAGAGCATTTTATACAAGGCTGGAATTGATTCATGAAAGAGGGACATATCAAAATTTGAGGCTAGCCTCAGCATCCTGTCATAGCCCTCAACCAGACAGAAAAGTCAAAGCAAAAGGAATGCAATGTACTGGGAGTTACCAATCACCACTGGCCACAGGGTGACCACAGACCCATCAGACTCACTCTTTCCTGATATGACAAAATGAACCTTCCTCTTCTTTTCTCTCTCTCTTAACTCAGCTGTGTGAAATGTAAAAAGGGGGAAAAAATGACAGTATGTTCCAACCAAAAATACAGAGAAGACCCACAGAAGTTTTTGAGATTGGTCTCAATTACAGGTCCTATCCCTTCACAGAGTGGAGGTAAAGGGGGAAGGTAAAGTGGAGGTAAAGCTTTTTACCACTAAGAATGGTGGTAAAAAACCTCTCTGCCTCTCTTTAGATAGATATAGAGGGATGTGTATTGCCTAAATACCATATGCTAATACAGAGATGAGATCTCTCTGTTTTGTTGATTTATATCAGTTACCTTGTTGTTTCCTTCTTAGTTTCTATACCAAATTTAATTGTAGTTTAAAATAAATAACTGGACAAATTCTGTAACATTATCCAGAAATCTGTTTTCTCTCTCACTATGAAAGGAATTTCTCATTTTTTTGGGGAATCTAAAGTTTAACAACTGAGTACCTTTCTAAAGCCAAAGTTTACCCCACCTGCTGTTATCCCAGCGCTAGATGTAACCATTCCATATTTGTCTGTAACAAGCTGAGTGAGATGTCATTTTATGAAAGTTGTTGAGGAAACCTACAGAGCAGCTCTCAGTTTGAAAAGGCAATTTAATGGATCATGAAGTGACAAACCAGCATGACAGACCTTCCATATTTTTCATCAGTAAAACTGCTGAAAAAACTCCTCACTAAAACAAAAAGCCCAGCATGTAGTAAAGAGCAAGGGCTGCAGAGCGGAAGGGCCTAATAGGGCTCTCAGAGGGTGTGCAACAAAACAGATCTACTTGATGGTCTGCTGAAAGCTCTGCTGTTAAAAATCACCTTTTAGTAAGAGACTACTAATCTCCAATTTTGCAAGGAAACTGGTGGATAAAATCTTGTTTTGCTGTAAATCCAGATGTTCCACTTGCACAGTTTTACACTCATGTTCAGGGCTTTCTCCATGGGGCTGGGACCAGGCAGTCATCCCTGGGTTGCCAGTTTCCTGATGGACCTTGACTGGAAGCATCTGCTGGGTGAGGTCACTGTCCCTTGGGAGCACCCAGGACACCCTGCAGCCATCCCAGTCATTGCTGGGGTTAGCACGTAAAGGGTTTCTGCACTGCAGTTTCTCTCTTTTGGTCCTATTTGCAGCTGCAGAACATTTGCTTTTTGCATATATATTAACTGATGTCTCATAACAATTCTTTTCTTCACAGGTGAGTAATAAGGTCCTTGTGAATTCATATCCAAACAGATGTATTCTCTAGATCACAGAAGTGAGGTGTTGAGCTGCAAGGAGGACAGACTCAACAAAACAAAACAGCGAGGCCTTGCCACACTTATACTGTAAGTGTGAGGTGGCAGAACTGAGCTGAACCACAAATGATTGCACAGTAAGGTGTATTTCCTCCTTTTTAATGGAGCATATCTATACAGATAGATTATAACAGTCTTTATGTAAGCACAAATTCTTACCCCTCATTCCTCTGCAGGAGTTAAGTAAGCTTTGTTGATAAACTCCCAGACTTCCAAAGAAAAATTGAAGTGTTCGTGCCATTAATTTTCATTTCTGCCTCTTTCTTCATGATTATTTTAACCAGTGCAGTGGAGTTATTTTCAGAGGCACCAAGCCAGAGAATCATTGCACTCAGCTTTCATGCTGCGAGATGGAGCATTTGGGTTTGAATATGAATTTGATAGTAGTAACAGTAGCAGTGGGAAACTTTATCTGTGAAAGGGAGTCAAAATGGAGCAGAACTGAGAACTCCATCAGCAAAAGAGTCTGTTATAGCTGGGCTGCAGTAGTTCAAGTCCTTCCTTTTCTCCCTCTTAATCAAGTGACAGAAAATGTATTCCTGCCTGGCTCAGCACTTCTAATCTAGGCACGCTGTACAAACCCAAAGCTCTTGATAAATGTTGGCTTCTACTAATTTATGTCAAAAAGAACAAAGGTTCTCCAAGTAGATTGAGGGTCTATATGCACTGATTTGGGCTGAAATGCTAAACTATAATCTAATTTCCTAAATTTTGTTCCAATTATTTGCAAAATAATGAAAACTAGCAGGAGAGCAGATAAGGGTTAGGGAGAATGATAGGCAGGTGCCTTTGCAGATAGCTGTAGCAGCAATCTCTAAGTAATAGACACACTAGTTGAATTTTCTTCTTAAATTTACATCATGATGATTTTTCATTCAGTCTCAAGTAAATCCTGCCATCAACAGGTACCACAAAAAAAATCCCTTTGTATCCAGGCACAGTAAATTGCAAAAATAGAGCCTACACCTATCTACAGGTGTAGATATCATGCTAAAGTTGTAAATTGAAATGAAATGCAAACTTTTGCTGTAACAGTTCTTGTAAAAACATTGTTGGTTCTGTTGGTAGAGTAAGCCACAGGACTGGGACTGCCCAGTGACACAGCACAACGAGAACTCACATTTTCAGGAGGTTTAGCTAGAACTCAACTTACTTTCTGTTTTCTTATGTTGTGGCTGGTTCTTGGGGGTTGGGTGTCCTTCTTTTTGTTCCTTCACACCAATGGAATTTTTTGCCCATTAGTTGAGGAAATCTGACTGCTGGTATACTTGGTGGGTGCTTGAAAAACCCAGGGAGTTTGGCTGGACTAGGGGGAAGGGAATGGGAGGGCAGGGGAAGCTGGGGGCTGGCTGGTTTCTTCAGCTTCAGAGCAGAACTCTGCTGGGAGCTGTTTCTGCAGAGAGAAGGGAATTCACCATCACTCAGACAGAGCTGCAGCTTCTTCTTCTCCTTCTCCTTCTTCATCTGCAGGCCCCTCACACCCCCTGTCCTGCCGGGACGTGTGGCAGTGCCAGCCTGGAGCTGCTGATCCACCTCATCCCCCAGCCCAGGATCTCAGCTCATCCCTGCTGTTCCAGCTGAGTGTTCCTCAGAGCCCTGCAGGAGCACCGGCACTGACTGCCCCAGGGGTTTGTGAAGCAAAGCCTCTCCTCCATCCCTTCCCGTCTCGGCCCAGAAGGCTGTCACGGGGTCCCTGCTGCTGTTTTGTTGGTAATGCTGTAGTTATTGTTGTTTGTGTGCCTGGTTATACACACTGGTAAAGAACTGTTATTCCTATCCCCAGATCTCTGCATGAGAGCCCCTTAATTTCAAAATTACAGTAATTCAAATGGAGGGTCCACATTTTCATTCCAAGGGAGGCTCCTGCCCTCCCTAGCAGACACCTGTCTTCTAAACCATGACACTATTCTTTTCCTTCTGGACAGATAACAAATGACCCTTCAGCTCCTCGCTTTACTCAAAACAGTTCAAGCACTCTGGTTTTGCTTCTGATCACAGCTTTTATTTAGCTCTGATAACCCACACTCTGCCTGACAACTCACTGGGTGTCTGACCATCAGGGTTGTCATGCTTCTCCCCAGATTTCCTGTCCTTACAAAAGACACTGACCAGAGTTTTGCTGTGCTAGAGCTGCAGCCAGGAGACACTGCACAACCAGAGCTCCAACTGTGCTTGTTAACATGAGGTGACAACATGAAATGGCCTTGCTAAGTTTTACAATAACAGGAGAGAATAAAACAAGAAAATCAGTCCAGGCAGTGGAATGGCAGAAAACCAACTAGATATATTAATCTTGTCAACAAGGGCTTAGCACTGCTGCCAAAATGTTGCAGGTCTTGTTTCTCTAGCAGCTGTTCTGTGAAGGGAAGAGTGGCTAACTATCCTGCTCTTCTAATGAAAAGACTGCTTATTTATAGGCATCAGATCTTACAGAAGTAGTAGCCAAAGTGGTGTCAGAAAAAAGTAAAGGGAACAATTGCATGAAAAGGTGGCTCGTGGAAAAACACTGAAGGAAGTGATTGCATTAAGTTCAGAAAACATAAGATTGACTAAAAGATGTAATTGTTTTGACATACAGAAGATTTTTAGGAAATAAAATTCCACCTTTTTCCCCACGCTATGGTAGGAGCAGGCCAAGAGGTAGTTTCTCAGGAAAAGGACTTTGTTTTCTCCTGTTCTCTGTCATCTGAAAGGAAAGTCACTGCAGGAGGCTATCCTAGGGACTGTGAAATCTCCTTAAGTGGATGAGAAATAAAGAACAACCCAATTTTATTTTGGAATGGAGTAAAATGACTTTAAGCACAGATTCACAACAGCTATTGCTTGGTTTGGTGTAGTTAAGATTCCCAGAGGCTCAGCCTGGTGCAACTGCCTCAACCAACCAATGCCTTGGGGCATGACTGCCATTCCAGCTCCCCAGGTCTCTCATCAAACATTTAGTCAGACTTAATATCATCAGGTCATATCTCTTACCACTCTTCAGACTTGGCTGGGAAGGCAGCCTGGGTATGCAGGTTTGTGTAAGCCAAAAATACTCGCAAGATTTGTTAAACTAGAAATGTTTGTATTAGGAAATGTTTGCTCAGAGTTTACAGCTGCATTAAGCTCATGGAAATATATTGTTATGTGATCCCTACATGCACAGTAAAGATTCAATGCAGTGTGGTACAAGTTGTGGTGAGGCTCATGATGCAGCTCTGTGGTGACTGACAAGAAAATCCCCCACATTCTAGGTGTTATACAGCATCCATCAACAGGTATCCCAGGCTAGGATCTGCAAGTCCTGTTGCATCTTTGCCCTGGATTAGCCCTCAAACACATACCTGCACCCACACATATATTTAGTGACCAACCAGACCACATTTACAGCCTGTCTCCTTTCTCCCTCCCAGACCCCTTTCTCTGGAATATTTCCATGATTCCTGCTTTTAAATCAAACTCTTGTTTTCAAGTCCATTTGAATACAAGAGATAGGTAAGGTGAAGTAAAAGGACAATGTTAATTCCTGAATGCTAATTCCTGAATGCTAATTCCTGAATGTTCTCAGTGATCTGTGGAGACAATTGAGGAGGAAGGTAATTGGGCCAGTGGATGGTGACTGCTGCTGGAAGGAGACCCCAGCCCCATTTCTCCTCAAGCACTTCCTCCTTCTTAAGGTGGGTTGGTTTGTTTGTTTGTTTGTTTTTATCAAACACTTTGTTAAGACATCAGCAGGTGGTGTGTGGTTGCTGTTTCACTTTTACTTCTACATTCAGATCTGCAATATCTACTGAAATTACTGTCTTATATTTCTGCACCTAGGTAATGAGGTCTTCAGGGAAAATTGTGAAGAACATCTATTTATTGCCTTCTCAAAAGAGGAATTTGCAGTTGTTTCCTGTCTACCTTCCTTCCAATGCAATGAGAGAACCTGCCTGAAGCAGGACTGCTGAGCAGCTGCTGCTCTTCAATTGCAGAGCTGGCCTTCTGGAAAAACCATTCACCTCACAATACCTCATGGGAATTGTTTATCTATACAATGTGTACAAAAAAAGCCACAAACAGTTTTAACCTGAGGAAAATACAAATTTGATACAAAGGAAAATCTTTGTCACATATTCTTAAGGATGCCTACAAGACCAGGGTATTTCCCTCCCAATATCACTATCTCCATCCCATTGGAGGATAAAAGAAGACTTATTCCAAATGCAGCTGTCTGCAGACAGCTGAAACTGGAGGAGTTAAGTACATTAACAAGTTCATCCTCAGGACTTGTTTTATCAGTAACTTGTGGTCACTGCAGGACAGACCTCAGCGACAGCATGACCTTGGGCTTGCCATTTCTTGGTTTCTCTCTTGGTATTTCTTTCCTCCTTAAGTCTCTACATTTCTTTGAGACAAAACAGTACCTTTTTAGGGGTTCTTTATTCCTGAACTAAGATACCATCTGGAAATGGTCTTAGCACGATGCATTTAAACACACAAATGTTCACATAAGGTTTTTGTGTGTACAAAGTTGTCAGAGAAAAAACATGAATGTAACAGCTGCATGTAAAACCTGGTTCTTTTTGCTTACAGTGTTCCATCAGTATTTAGCTTACCTTATCAGTATTCACAGCTTGTTTTCTGTCTGATCAAGATGTCAACAGTCCCTGCATCTCACACTGTTCCTCTATTAAACACCTTGCGTCATTCTACAGCTTATTTTGATAAAATTTGTTCAAACCTCTACATGGACAGAGAATTGCCAAGTTTTCTTGACACTTTCAATGACTTCATGACTGAGGCTGATTAAAACATCACAAACACGAATTTTCTCTTCTCAAAGTCACCTGAAAAAAGACAAGAGTGCTTTTAGATAATTTTATCCTCTCCTATACCATCCTGACTTATTCCTGAGGCATAGGACCCTATTTCCTGGGCTTTGAACCACTTAAAACATAGAAGTTAACTGAAAAATATAACTATACCTTAGTGTCAATTTAGTGATTCCACAGTTTAGAGGTGTGATACATATCTGCTGGTATGTGACAAAAGTATGTTCCTATTTGATGTGGACTGTGACCAGTGTAGACCAGCCCTTTCCTGCCTCCACGGAGCTCACGAGCTGTCAAGCTGCAGAGGTAACCCACCTCACTGGGGACAGTTCAGTAAACAGCACAGATGAACTCCAGTGTGTCCTTGGCACCTCCAACTTCAGACATCTGCAGGAAGCTGCCTTTGGAATAAGTCTTTTCATGCCAAGCTTCTGACTTGCTCTAGAATTGTTTTGAAAAGCAAGATACCTTGTTTTCTTTTGTCCATGGAATTCCCATTTTTCCATGGAAAGATAACAAGAAGAACTTGTGAAGAGCTGCTGAGCAAGAAAAAAAAGAATGGCAGCTATTTAATACGGGAGAGTGAGAGTGTGGAAGGAGCCTTGTGTCTCTGTGTTTTGTAAGTATCCTAATACTGATTTTTTATGAAGTTTCAGCTGGATCCAAAGACAACAATAATCTTCTCTAACATTAATAGTTCTTCCCTGATATTAACAGACTCCAAGGGAGTGTGTCTATGTATTCAAAGTTTAGGTTGCTTTAGGTTTCCTCTATAGTGACTAGTGAGAGGGTGGCATTTCCAAAAAAACATTTTATGTAACAGATGATAAATGAATTATAATCTGGTGATGCTGGTCTCTCTTTGCAGACAATAAGGTGACCCTAGAGAAAGTAGCTCAGCCTACCAAGACGTGCTAAGAGCCTTACTCAAAGTAGCTGCCTATGAAATGATGAGTAAACAGCATTTTAGTACTGTTGAGACACTGAAAAGTCTCATGGTGTGTTACAAAACACTTCCGTCTTTGTAGAATTTCTGTCTGATGAATGATCAGCCTTGTGTTTCAAAGAAATTTTACCTGATATGACAACATAGGGTGAGGCTGAAAATTACAAATTTCTGTTTGAATTCATATGACAAATCCACAGACAAGATGGGCATAGAAAACTGCTATTTCTAGTCCAAAGCTGTAATTACTACAATTAAAATTTTAGTATTTTCTTTTTCTGTAGGGAATAGCACTTTTATTTCCCTTTTTACACTTTCCATATATAATTGATCTGTTCATAATGCATTCAAAGTTTAAAAACTAGAATCTAGGTCTTTGTTTGAGCCTATGAGGTTTTGCACTCTCGTTGCAGATACATTTGAGTGTGACATGAAAACCTTTTAACACATCTAATTAATTAAAAAATAGGAGAAGATGTTTTTGTTAACCATTAAAAATTAATTTCTTATGAAACAAATCAATGGAGAGGGGAGAAAAAGGGAGAGAGAAATGGAGTACTAGTGGGTTGGTGGCTAGAAGAAAGGAGGTCTGCAAAATAACAGCATGAGGAGAAGAGAAATAGCAAGTGGGGGACAAACAGAGCCCTCAGCAAGCGAGCTTCAGAAACCTGCTCTCAGGATGGTGTGGAATGAGACAATGCAGGGGGTGAGGGGAGGGCAGGCAGATGGGGGGGAACACGGATGCATACCCTGTCAGGAGGGACAAATGGGGAACCTGACACAGAGGAAAAATGACAATGTTAGAACCTGGGTTAAGCTTTGTGCCGCACCAACACTCTTGATTCTCGTTTTGGTTTTTTTTCTGTTTTTGAAGGCAAAGCAGATTTGCTTTGTGATATCTTGCTGGCATATTTTGGCCTGCCACATGTGCCTGCCACAATATTTTGTGCAGGCATATGAAAAATCATGTGACTTCCAGTTTGCTTCTGTGGGTTTTAGTGTTAAAAGCTGATAAAAAAACTGAAGTGTTTAGTGGGTTTGACTATAATCCCAACATGAACAAATGCCATAGTTAAAGTGCAGGAGTGGCAGCAGTGGTGCACAGATGGTGACTTGCACAAGTCAGAGCAAGGCTTCTGTTCAGATGGGATGGCATTAGTGCCCTGGCTGAGAATTGCCTCAGAAATTGGGCTGTCTGGCAATGGTTCCCTAGGCAAACTGCCTTTAAACTGGGAGCAATCAACACCGAAACTCTTAGATATTCAAATGCAACTTTTGAATTGCATCTTGACACCTTGTTTAGCACCTAAGACAGTTGATGTTCAAACTGATAAACCCATCTCAAATTTACTGATCTGCTGGCACAGACACTCATCCACTTGCTACAGCAAACAAACTTTCTTGTCCTTTTTCACTGGGATATGGGAGGGAAGTGCACTCTCATGGAGGGCCTGGGAGTCAGAATGGTGGGACCAGTTCAAATGCACCTCTCCTCTGTTGGGGCATGGTGTACAGTTCTGCTGATGCACCTTCCTCCACAGCACAGTCTCTTTCATCCAGGATTATCTCAGGTCTCTGACAGTGCCTCAGTTCAGACCTACTGCTTTTGCTACTGTTCTTACTGTTCAACATGCCATTCTCCCTCAATTCAAGACCAAACATTATGTTTATTTGTACCCTATTACTAGCTCTTGGTAAGCATTTAGTAGTTAATGAAGAAACAGAAGTTTCCATTTTAATGGTACTTTCATGTTAATTTAGTAAAATTTACAGTAGCTGAATAATATCCAGGCAGTAGTCTTTTAAAACTTAGTTGATCAGCAAAGAACAAACAAGTTTAAAAAATGATCAGTTCCTGGTATTTCTTTTTCTCACTTCTCTGTCTCTGTGCAAAGAATAAGCACTTACATTTATAGAAGTACTCTTCAGCGAGGATCATGTGGATTTCCACAGGTAAAATCCTTCTCAAGAAGGCAAAAACCAAAAAATGCATCCCTGTGACACCACTCTTTGAATTAAAATAAATCTGTTATAACTGGAAGCCCAGTTCTGATCTCAGTTCATAGTAACTTTTTTGAAGAATAAAATAGTTTATTTTCAGAGTAATCCTTCATTTCTCTGCAAGTCCCCTGAGCCAGATTTTTGCCCCAAGATTCTCCTTCTCATGACTATTCATTTCACATTGCCACAGCTGAAGTCCTTCTGATGAACAGGCATACCAGTTAAAAAAACTTGTTTTCAAATGCTGCTCCCTCCTCTCCCCAACCTCCTCACTTATTTGTCATGTATATTTTCCTGCAACTCTGCTACCTTTTTTGATCACAGTCACAATCTCCAGTTCACCTCCTGAATTGCTGCTACTGTCGTACCTGATCCTCCTCACTTATTTGTCATGTATATTTTCCTGCAACTCTGCTACCTTTTTTTGATCGCAGTCACAATCTACAGTTCACCTCCTGAATTGCTGCTACTGTGGTACCTGATAAAGCTTTTATTTCTCTTGACAAAATATATCCAAAGACATCAGTAGTCTCAGTGTCCAAAAACCTGCATATTATCAAAAATAACAATAGCTAAAACCCTGGGAAATGCAAAGGAAGATTATTCTTAGAAGTAGGAGCCATACAGTCATTTTCTGGGCGCTGGTGACTGGAGGCCATTTTCTGTCAATGTCTCTCCAAGAATTCCACAGCCTTCTTGTGACAGAAATGCAAAATGAAGGTTAGAGTGGCAAGGAAGAGAGACATGAGAAAAGGTGATGTCTGTGGAATCAAATTATGTTTACTAAAAGCCTGTGTTAGGCTTTGTTCATATGTTCTTTGAAACCCCTGGTGAGAGTAATCTTGTATTTCAAGATATTAAACCTTTACTCCTTTTGTAATCTCTAGGATCTCTTTTGCTTTTCTGTCTCTGCCTCGTGCAATTTTACTGCACTTCTCATGTCTTTCATACTATCTGCAGATATGTCCACTTTCTTAATGTGATGTATTATGAATACCATGTTTTTCACAGCTTTGAGGACATCATCTACACTTACCGTATCTTCAGGGAACCCCAAGGATATCTTAGAATACAGGTGAGTAACTCCCATTACGTCTCTGAAGACTGCATTAATGATCACAGATTTTTTAAAAGTCATAAACGATCTTAGATTAATCTATGATCAATGATCATTTTAATCTACTGTCATTTTAATATATGATTCTAGATTTTAAAAAAAAATCCATAACACAATACTATAGAACATATTTCCAAGTTTGCTCTCTACTCAATCCTTACTATAGATGAGCTCAAAAAGAATCTCCTGTGTTTACAGAATTTCCTTATAACCTAAGCTTCTCTGTTATTTATTAACCAGCTGCTTTCTCATTTGACCATTTCTTTTTGATAGCACTGATGAAATATCTATTACTTTTCTTACTTTCTCCTGTTACTAATTACCTTGTTCTACTTGAAAGCACTGCTATTGCATGCAGCATCTCATAGGGATCTGGGATATTGCAATGATCTTTTTGATTTAAAGAATCTGTAATTCTGTGCGATTGTGAGGTACCTGAAGAGGCAATGACAAATAATGCTGCTTATTCAAGTAAAACAAGTGTAAGAGAGACTAATGCATCAATCAAATCCCTAAGGAATGTGAAAGGACACCCTAAAAGCTGGCTCACTCCCCTGCTTGTAGTAGGACAGCCAAGAGGACTGCCAATGTTAAGCAGCATTTAAATGGAATGAGGAAATCACTTCATAAAGAACACTCCAAGCTCTCACATGCTGGTAATTTATTGCTTATTAGTGGTCTTGTCTGTGTATGAAAGACACAATTTCCCATGAAGAAGAATGGTTTGCTGACAAAAAATATTCTGTTTTGGACCTTAGCCACTCTACTGGGGTTATGCTGTCATTCCTGTCAGCAGGTAATTCAGATCTACTTTTAGACTTTTCAAACCCATTCTTCCTTACAAAGTTTTGCCAATAATATGAAAGAAGAATCCAGTTCTTAAAAATTTTAATTCAGATTACATTGGCTTACTAAAATAATTGTGTGAAATATTGTACTGATGGTGGAGGAGAGGTTGTTTGAGGTTTTTTTTTAAGGCCAGATTTAGACATAGGCTTTCCAGAGTGCAGCAGGCTGGGCCCAACCAGCTAAGCACCCCCACAGCTGCTCACTCCCTCCCTCCTTAGCACAACAGGTGGGAGGGAAAGAGAACACAAAGAGCAAAAGTGAGGAAACTCCTGGACCAGATAAAATATAGTGTAATAGGTAAAGCAAAGTCATGCACCCAAGCAAGGAAGTTTAGCAACTCCTTATCAGGAGGCGGCCTCCTGCAAAGTGGGGCCTCAGCACACACATAACCACAATCGTCCTCCCCTTCCCTAAACTTTTATAGCTGAGTACAGTGCCAGATAGGGTGAGATGGGATAGCCAGCATCTTGCACATGCCCAGCCTATTCCCCAGGGGAGCCAAGTGCAAGAGAGACATCCTTAATACTGCACAAGCACTGCTCAGCAAGAGCCAAACGTGGCCGTGTTATCAGCACTGTTTCAGTCACAAATTCAGAGCATAGCACTGTGTAGGCTGCTGTGAAAAAAGTTAACTCATGCCAGCCAGTCCAGTACACAGAGGCATTAGCACCCAGTCCATCCAGGGCTGAATAGATGATGACGGATGCAGAAAACCAGAGAAAATGAACACATGTTTCTTTGATAGTTAGGAGATTAAGTGAAACCAAAGCCCTGTTCTCTTTTAATGACTACTAGTAGGCTGCTCACTGTCTGTCACTGCCCTGAAGTCACAGCACTGTAAAGTCCCTGCGTAGATCCCTTCAGGGCTGAGCTGCAGAGGCAGTTCAGTCCTGTCATATGAACCCCACCTAAAGAACAGCTTTTAGCACACAACCTTTGCTCGCCAATGCTGATATTTTGTAAAAGTTTGGGTTCTGTTTGTCATCTAGTTATTTCAAGGCAAGATTTTAAGTGAGAACTAAATATGTTATCCCTAAGCTTTTGCTCTCAGACCAGAGTGCAGTGTGGAATACTGTTGCTCTTCAACACTGCTGTAATGGATCGCTGCAACATACATCTAAATTGATAACTTAATTGATGTTCATTTTTTAAAAAAAGGGGTGGTGAGGGAGGTTACTTTTAGTGCCACAACCATGTCTCCAAACAAGTGTCCCTAGTGTTTTAAGGATAGTGCAGTATTCTGTCACCAAAACTGTTTACAAAACAGCTCCTTGGTAAATAAGAAACAACTTATCATTATTTTCATTTAGGGGACTTCATGTGAAGGAAACTTGCAAACACATTTTGTTATCCTTTTCTTACAGACTTCTGAAGGTGTTCCAGAGAGGACCTTCAAAACATTAAAGGACTTAATATACACTTTTGAAAAGCCAAATCAAGGACTGATAACAAGCCTCCGCTACCCAGTGAAGAAACCGAATACCTTGCAAAGAAGCCAGAAGTTCGAGTCAGGAATGGACAGCATTTATGATGGTGAGAAACTTAGCTCTGCCTTTGTGGGGATTTTAAGGATGATGACATTGACAGGTTTGTGGTGAATACTTGTTAAATTTCTTGCATGGACAGATGTTTTACATCCTCCCTTCTCTCTTATGTTTGCTGAAATGGTTATTCTTAGCTCACAGGTTACTTACCCTCACCCACTACAAATGAACAAATTAAAATTGCTAGAGATACACAATGATGAAGAAAGCTGCCTACAGCTCTCTTATTCATAGATGTTGATGCTTCTAGGCTGGAGAAGGCTGAGAATTGGCTTTACCCAACGTGCTTCTGCCAAGGTACCAGGCCCTTGCACTTCACTGGGGGTTTAGGCTGTCCTTTACCTCTCTTATGAGCTTATGTCAATGTTGTGATGGCTCTCTCTGAAACACAGGCACTGCCTAAAGCATGGCAGTGCTCCCTAAAGCGAGCATCCTTATTTCCCTGTCCCATCCCTCACATACTTCACAGCAGCTGGCTTTGTGGCACACGTGGGACTGAGCGCTCCAGTGTGACCAGTGGAACCTCAGGGGACTGGGGTCATGATCCTGATGGTTGGAGATATTTAAGCTTTGTTTTCTGGCCTAGAAGCAGCTTTTCTGAAGGCAGCTGCTTGGAGAGCAATAGGTTTCCACAGTGGAGCTTTGAGTTCCAAGCATTGAATTTCTGCCTTTTCCCTGGCTCCTCAAAAACCATAACCAATCTGACAAAGTGTAAGAGAGAACAAGATTTTTCAGGCTTTCCTCCTTTAGTTGGGGTAAGAACTTTTCTGTTAGGTATTTATTTACACAAGAAGGGATGTGTTATGCGGGTCACAAATATCTAGGCTATTGATCTGTTTTACCAAGAATGGATGATCTCTGACATTTGACTGTTCCTCAGGAAGGAGAGGGTCTCATGTGGATACAACTGTTTACAATAGTGCTTGCTGGTTCAGAAAAGGCAATGCAGGCTTTGCCTGCAGGTTTGTTCCTGGAGAATCCAGTCCATAGGACAGGGGGCCTAAACATTGGCCCTGCAATAGCAGAGAGAACACTGAGAAACCAAACTGAGTTACTGATACCTGCCCTGTCACAGGCCATGCTGCATCCCATGGCCTTTCAGAAGAGCACCATGCAACAACATCATTTTTTATTTGTGCTGATTACTTCACAGAAGATGATGATGATGATGGTGATTACATCAATGTCTTACCCTGAAGGATCTGCACGTGATGGTTTGGGAAGCCGCGGTTCCAGGATGTGCCCTGACACAGCACCTCAGCTGGGGAGAGCTTCCAGCTGGTTGTCCTCTGCTCTGGGTCTGAATTACGCTCCTCCTTTTGCAGACTGTCACAGTAGCTGCATCTTCTACCAGTATATCCAGTACAAGCTATTATGCATGTTTGCTCAGCAATAAAAGAAGTACTTTTTGTTACAGACACATACACACACACACATAGGTATGGGGGGAAGTATCTTGTGTCCATATATGTGTCTTCTGGTCATTTTTAGCCAGCAAATTGTCCAAGATTTTGACTGCTAGAGTGAACATTCGGCTAGAAGGCAGCAACATAAATGCATTAAATGAATGGGCATAAAGCAGTAATTTATGGCAGAATTGATAGGTGTTGATAAAAACCATATATGACAAAACTTTTGCCATTGTAAGATGCTTTAAAACTCCCAAATTCTGTTATTTTGCACATGATTCATGTAATTTTCTCTAAAAAATCCTTTTCCTGTTTCTCTGATTCTGCTGCATTTCTTTTGTATTTTTCTTTCTTTTCCTGGATTTCTCAGCCTCCTTTGGATTGAATTCTTTTGGGATCCTCCCTCGTGGGGAGCCCTGCTTATCTCAGTTCTCATGATTTGAAGAAAACTCCCAAGCTCATTAGAATCTTGTTTCTTGTGTTTATTAAAAGGTCATCACAAAACTTGACAGGTCTTTCTAGGCTGGCTGCACAAGGTTATATCTTTGTAATCTGGTACATTTCTTTCTTCTGATGGTACAAACAAGGCCTTGTGGCACACTTCGTTTCTGATGCACAAAATGGCCCTGAAGTATGCAGTTCTTTTATCTTTATACCTATTTTTACCCAATTAAAAATAGACAAGTATATTATTTTTCTTAATGACCCAATAACTCTTCACCTATGTGCTGGCATTTTCTGTCCAATCACTTACTACTACCCAAAAAGCTCTAGGAGAACATGAAGAAGAAAGAAGAAGGGACAAGAGACAACACCTTAACTCTTCCATCTTGTCTCCTGTTCTCTAAACTAACTTTTTCACCCAGTGATTTAAGAAAACTTTCTAATCTACACACTTACACTTTTAGCTTTTTCTATCTATCTTTAACATTTGTTCTCATGTATCACCATGAAAACATGCTCATGAATTTCATGTTATATGAAATTCAGTGTTCTTCTGGATCTTAAAACTAAGTATCAGGAACAAAGATACACACTCTGTAATCCAGACTCCAACAATTCATGTTACCTCATTGTTGCAGGAGTGAATAGTATTTCAGCAATGTTGAGGAATACTAGTAGTCCATATTTGCATTTGAATAATGCAAATTAAAACAAAAAATGCTGTGCTAAAACCATGCCATAAAAAATTAACCAACAAGAGGAAAATGGCTTTGAATACTTTCAATGTTGAGGAATGGTTCTGGCAGATTACAAAAGGACTACAAGTTCTATATGCATGTCAGCATGAACACAGTCCTTTTTCTAACAGGTTCTGTTTTAACAGGTTTTTAATATGGGAATGCTTACTCCATTTCATTTTCTACTGCCATTAGTGCTGTATTATGTATATGTCTTTTGATGTTTGGTTGATTTTTTTTTTAATGTAAGAATTTGCTTTAATCTTACCCTCAGTTTTAAATATTTAATAAATACTTCTGTTCTGAAGGTGGCCTGTGACTAGCAGCCACAGCCAGAACTGGAATATATGTCCTTAGTCTTCCAGTCACTGCTACAGACTCCCTGACCATCTGAGGCTATGAGGAAGACATTTGTATTGCTTGTATGTCTGAGACCCTTCACACACTTTTTAAGTATTTTAATGGGTGACATTAGGTAGAATTTTTTTCTATTATGTTTCTCCCACACCATTATTTGTCAAAAGAATTTTAGACCTCCCAGTGCTTTGAACTTCATTATGAATTTAACAGTGCTGCAGAGTTTTTGGCTCCAGGCTCAAGTAATATTTGTAGCATGAAGCTATTCATTTGTAGCATTTGAAGCTATTTATTAACCCTAGCAATGCCAAGAAATCAAATGTCTCCAAAACTTCATTAATTGAAAAGAAAGTAGTCATCCATGAAAAATGGTACTTTGGGACATAAACACACCAGCCCTTGCTGTGTAGAAGCACATAACTGAAGTGTCCCTTTCCTTGCACAATCCAGCAGCCTGTCAGATAGCTGGTTATCACACGTACCAGACTGAGGAACTGCTGTGCTGAGCCACCCCACCTCCAGCAGCATGGTCCTTTACACAGCACTGCAGTTTTTCTGAAATGACAGTCCCAGCAGTCCCCCAGGTGCTCACTCAGCCACACTGATGTTCAGCCTTGGGAAGGCCGAGTGACAAGGAATCCCAGCCTGTGCCTCACGGTGCCTACTGAGTGACTCTGAAGGCTGAGCAGGGGACAAGGGCCAGGCTGTGGTGCCTTCAGGTGGCACTTGGCAGTTTGTTTTGTACTCAGATTCATAATGGTCATCAAACAGGTTCACAGCAGCTCCTGGTGCGGCACCCAGGACTGAGGGTGACTCCAAGACCACGCTCCAGTCATTTCTCCAGCGATCCCTTGAAGCAGGGGACACAAGAAGGATCAAGGACTTAAAAGAGGAGAAAGGGACACAATGGTATTTACATCACATTCACATTGCTCACCTGTGCTTTATGGCAATGCTTGTCCTATTAACAGTACAGGAAAATATAGAGGCAAATATAGACATTCCTACACATATCTGCAGGCCTACTATGGCAGAAAACAATCTGTGTATGAGTTGAGAAAACATGTTCAAAAGCTTCACAGGGCAGCATCTACCCACTGACATCCAAAAGGTGGGTGGGTGAGTGCATGTGTGTCCATGGCAGAGGATCAAGTAGTGAGGGAGTGGAACCTCTTGTATGCTGGAATCCAAAATAAAAGCCTCTCTGAGCTCTTCAGAGAGAGAAAAGAATTAAAATATATTAAGCCATAGATATAGAGTAAAAGTGTAAGTTTTAGTTTTAAGTAAGTAAAAATATAGCTTAAGTGCCCCAAGAGCCTGTGTTAGCCAGTGAAAAGCCCTTAGTACCCAGCTTAAAGTTCAGTGATAATACCCTTCACAAATTCAACTTAGCTCTAGACATAATGAAAATATAGTTTGCATTCTTAGAAGAGACAGAAATATTCACATAAAGAGATAATACCCTATACATAAGATTTAGGTTAAAAGATTTCACATGTTAGAATTAAGTTCAGATTGGTGCAGAAAGTATTGTTTTAAAAGGGTGTTTTTAGCTGATTGGATGGTTTATGAATTTAATCCCCTGTATAGGGGATCAGAGAAGAACGACTGACAGAAGAAAAAAAAAATCAGAAGAACAGCAGCACCATCATCATCACCAGCTGCTTTTGCAGCCCAAGACAGCAGAACTCCACGCCGAGAAGCTGCTACCCAGAACATCGGGACCTTATACCAGAGAGCTGCTGCTCAGAACTCGGGACTTTATTCCAAAAGCTTTTAGCAAATACTTTAACCCTCTGAACTCTTTGCCTTTGAGACTGATGCTTCTACACAATAAAAACCTTTCTAACAAACATCAGCTGCTCATGTCTCTTTGAGACTTAGAAATATTATCAGAATCCCCGTTGAAACTCGACGCTTGTACACGCGAAAGGTTCGAGCACGTGGTGTAAGGAAGAGCCCGATCCAAGAAGGGCATGACCGCGGTGTCCCGGGGCGCTCCGGCTGCAGGGGGTGCGAGGAAAGGATCCCGGTGGCAGCGCGGGCGGGCGCTGTGCCCGCAGCGGCCTGCGGGGGGCGCTGTGTGAGGAGAACGAGAGCTCAGGCCCCGGGTTCGGTCCCCCCCATCGACACCGCCAGAACTTCCCCACTCCGCGGGAGAAGCCAGGGAAGCTCAGGCGGGAGGGGAGGCTGGCTTCTGACCGGCCTTAAGACCTCCCCAATAGGAGACGAAAGGATAATGGGGACTAGAATGACAGCAGGAAGGCGAAGCAGGGCTGCCGGCGCCAGGTGGGAACCGCCGGCAGCTCCAATCGGAGGCGGCCCTCCAGAGGCTGGATGGCTGGAAGAACCAGCTCTCCGCGACCACAGAGAGCTCCGCTTAGGAAAAGCATTTCTTTGGATCGCCCCGACGGCAGGCGAGCCCTAAAGCCGCCCCACCGATCCAAGCGCCCGCGCTGCCCGCATTCCCCCGGCTCCTCCCCCGGCTCTCGCCACCTTCCCCAAGCCGCGGCTGCCGCCCGCCCCTGCCTCCCTTAAGCAAGA